ATGAATTAAATCATTTGCATGACTGTTGCTTAAGAAAAATATGTCTAGCTATAAAGTATTAAAAAGGAAATTGAACTTACTAGAAAGTTGATAAAGATAAATGAATCTAAAGGATTTATCTTGATAATATATACTCTCAATTATTAAACACACACACACACACACATACACATACTCCCGGCATATATTGATTCAGTGTAGCAAATAATATATGCCTTGACCAGTTACAGTAGTTCTGATATTAGAAAATGACTAACATTTAGCCCTAGTCGCTTTATCCCTAGCAAAAATGTGGGGGTCATCAGCTTCAAAAGAGTCAAATGTGACGAACTATCTTCTTTACTTTCTGTCCTAAGGCAGCTTAGATGCTATTCAGAATATGTCTTATGATATTGACCATCTACAAATCAAGAGACCTAATGGTAAATGTGCTTAGTTACTGAAGTGGAACAGAAAAAGTCTGTCTGGAGAGAGGCGCTCTTTAGGGTCCATAATTCTTCCATAATTAAGTGTGTGTGTGTGTGTGTGTGTGTGTGTGTATGGAGTTACTCCAGGTCAGGTCCCCATAGTGCCAGACTTAGTAGCATGCACTCACTTTCTAGATTTAAATAGAATTTTGTTCTACAGTCAGATATTTAGACTTTGTTTTCATTTATTTTATATTCCACCTACAACTAAAATCATCCAGTCTTTATCTCTCTGACTTATTTTGATTAGCATAATCCACTTCAGTTCCATCTATATTCTCTCATATAGCAAGAGTGCAAATGCATAATTTTTTATAGCTTAGTAGTATTTTACTATGTGTAAATACCATATCATTCTAACCCACTCATCTGTTTTTGGATATTTAGGCTGTTTCCATAACTTGACTATTGTAAGTGCATGCTGCAATAAACATAGGAATGCATATATATCCCTTATAGTTTATGATTTCAGGTTTTACATCCCAGTTCTTATTTTATTTATTTATTTTAATTGAGATAACATTGGGATACCCCTATCCAATATTACTGTGGTAGCGGACCTCCCACCAATTCACCCATATTCCACCACTATAGACCATTGTGCTTCCTTCCCTCTTTGTTCTTGCCACCCTCCCTCATTCCCTGGCCACCTTGGTGCTTCAGTTCTGTAATCAGCTATCAAGGGATGGATTTTTTAGGCTTGTTTTTGTCTGACCATTAGTTTAGTTACTTTATATCCCACATTTGGGTGACATCATCCAGCATTTATCTTTTTTCCTTCTGACTTATTTCACTAAGCATCATTCCTTCAAGCAGCATTCATGTCATCACAAATATCATGAGTTTATCTTTTTTGATTGCTGTGTAATATATACCACAATTTCTTGATCCACTCATCTGTTCTGGGGCACTTGGGTTGTTTCCATAAGGTTGCTATAGTAAATAGCGCTACAATAAATGTGGAAGTGCAAGTTTCCTTTTGATTTAGTATTTTTTTAATGGGGGGGGGTAGATGCCTAAGAGTGAAATTACTGTCTCAAGTGGCAGATCTATTTTTCAATGTTTTGAGACACCCCCATACTGGTTTTCATAAGGACTAGACCAGTTTGCATTCCCACCAGCAGTGTGGTTTCCATTTTCTCAACACCTTCACTAACACTTGTTGTTTCTGGCCTGTTAGATACAGGCCATTCTCACAGGTGTCAGGTGGATATCTCATCGTGATCTTGATTTATACTTCTCTAAAACTATATGATTGTGAACATTTTTCATGTGCCTGTTGACCATTTGAATGTCTTCTTTAGAGAAGTGTCTGTTCAGTTCTTTGGCCCACTTGTGAGCTGAATTGTTTTGTTTTTGTGGAGTTTTATGAGTTCTTTGTAGATCTTTGATATCAGTCCTTTGTCATATGTATGGCGTGCAAATATTTTCTCTCATTCAGTTGGGTGTCTTTTCATTTTAGTTTTGGTTACTTTTGCTGTACAGAAGCTCTTTAGATTGCTGCAATTCCAGCTGTTTATGTTCTCTTTTGTTTTCCTTGCTGTTGGGGACAAATCCCTAAAGGCATCACTAAAGCTTATGTCATGAAATGTTTTGCGCGTGTTTTCTTCTATGTATTTTTATGGTTTTAGGTTTTATAAACAAGTATTTGATCCATTTTTGAGTTGATGTTTTTGTGTATGGTGTGAGATCATAGTTTAATTTCTTCTTCTCATGTAGTTGTTCAGTTTTCCAAACACCATTTATTGATGAGGCTATCCTTGTTTCAGTGTTTGCTCTTGGCTCCTTTGTCATAGATCAACTGTCCATACACATGTGGGTCTATTTCTGACCTTTCAATTCTATTCCATTGGCCTGCATGTTTGTTTTTGTTCTTGTACCAGGCTGTTTTAATTATTATGGCTTTATAATAAAACTTGAAGTCTGGAAGTGTAATACCTCCATTCTCTTTCTTCTTTGTCAAGATTACTTCTGCTATTTGGCATCTTTTGTGATAGCATATGATTTCAGTAGTATTTGTTCCAGTCCTTTGAAAAACACCATTGATATTTTTATTGGGATTGTGTTGAATCTGTATATTGCTTTGGTAGGAATGGTCATTTTGGCAATGTTGATTCTTCCAGTTCAAGAGCAGGGAATATTATGTCATTGGCAAATAATGATAGCTTTACTTTTTCTTTCCCAATTTGGATTCATTTTATAACTTTCTCTTGTCCAATATTAAGTGATTTTGAACATTTTTTCATGTGACTATTGACCATTTGAATATCTTCTTTGGAGAAGAACCTGTTTAGTTTTTTTGCCCATTTTTAAATTTCAGTGACAATGAAATACTTTTGATTAACTTATGAATGCAAAGTCTGACAGTTTTCTTCTATATTTGGCAGCCTATGACTATGACATAGTCATCAGAAAAATGGGGCTTCCAAAGATACTCCAAAAGCTAATGGTGGAGAATTATGGGTGCTTTGGTGGCAGGGGTGGTATGGTAACACACATTTGAAGTGATGTGAATTTATGCCCCTAAATTAGGTACACTATTATAAATCAACATTACCTCAATAAAAGTAATATAATTTAAAAATTAAAAATTAAAAAAATTGAATTTTAATTTCTCAACTTAATGTAGAATGAGTCAATACAGGAGAATTTTAATTAGATACAATATAATGAACTGAATCTCATAGCTTATGCTGGCTTAAGATAGTCTCTGTACTTGTGGTAGGATTGTTGCTGACCATAAGATATATGTGTGTGTGTGTGTGTGTGTGTGTGTGTGTGTATTCACTTCAGAAAATTAGATTTAGTTCATTTTCAGGTATTTGGACAAAATCTTAATTGAAAGTTTTTAAGTCATCTTTAGTTAGAAGTTTTATTTGATGTGATAAAGAGACAAAACTTAAGAGTATGTCACAGTGTCAATATACATCAACAGGTTTTTGAAATTTGATATGTAATTTGGGTTATTTTTTGAGGTTGTCACATTATTCTACAAAGAAAATACTTTATCCAGAGGGAAAAATCAAATTATAGCTTTAAAAACTCATTACCAATAATTAATAATGAACTCTAGCTAAACAATAACAGGTGTTCCACTAATCCCAAACAGAAACAGATGGAAGCACAAATGTTTTATAAATACTGGATACATGCAGAGCAATAAATTTGGCAGGAATTGTTTTATTCTCTAATTGTCAGTCAGAGTCAAAGTCTTATCACTTACATTTTCTCTAAATTAATATGCCAAAATGGGATCTTTCTTTCATTCCTTGTTTCTCAAAGTGCAAGTCACATTTAGTACTCTCTCACTCTATTTTATATATTGCCTCAACAATGAAGCAAAGAATGCTGATTATTTTCTTTTGTATATTTATGAAGCTATATATGGTTTGTGACATGAAAAGACAGGCACACTATACATACTTTTCTTTTTCAGCTTCTTTCCCTCATATCCAAGATTAAAAATGCTGATCTAAATAGTCTTTAATTTTTTATACATCATAAAAATAAACCATCAAGATCATGAATGTAGGTAGATAATATAAGATAGCAATAAGAAAGTCAAAAAATGACATGCAAAACTGTACTCCTACAGCATTTGGGAATTATTTTCAGGTGTTAGGATATTACACAGAGCTTTAGAGCTAAACACATGGCTCTTTAGAATGTGTTCACATGTTTTTAGAAGGGCTCTCTCTCCCTGTATAGTTATTAGCAAAATTTTCTTTAACTCATGCAGAGGTGGTTTTGCTGTTCCTTCTAGCCTTACTCTGTTGGTATATTTCTTGCAAAAATATGATTGGCATCATGACTATTAATCTGTTAGCATCCATCACTAAATTTGACAATACACTACTCTTGTGTCATGTGATTTTCCTAGAAATTATATTTTATGATCAATTACTATTATGAATAATTTAGGCTGCACAAAGAAAACATTATTTTCCTCAGACAATGACATTTAAAAATTCATGGTCTCTCCATGTATACAGGTGGCATATATGCTATTATTAAATTTTATTAAATTTCTCTATGGCCTTTTATTTTATCAAAAAAAGCCCCTCATACTTATCAAGAATATTGAATCAACTCATGTACAATTAAACAGTTAGTTGGTCTGAAAGCAAAAGTATGGGTAATGTACAACATTCTTAAGCCATCACAACTAAACAAAACAGACGATAAAGATTATATATAAAACTAAATGAGTAGTATATATACACTGGGATTTGTCAATGTTGAGATGTTCCTCTTCACTCCAAGATATTATTAAAGATATTAGCCCTTTATTGTATATAAAGATATTAGCACTTTTTTTTAGCATTCAGCTGACTAAATTTGCAGAAGGCCATGCAGTAAAACAAAGTAAAATTAAAGGCCCCTCAATGTCAATGTTTTACTTCAGCTTTTTATTTTAAATCTACACATGCATTATGCTAGTTTTAATGAAAATACAACTTAATATATAAAATATCAACAATCTTAGAAACAAAGACTATTAAAACAGACAAGTACAAGAATTATTTGGAATACCTGGTTTTAAATCCCCATGGACAAACATGTCAATCATATATCGACAGAACGCATACTGATCTGATAGAGTAGAAAGAAAAAACAATGAAAAAATGTCATCAACACATTCCTTTTTTTCTTTTTAACAAAACAAACAAAATAGTACATTTCTATTTTAGGGACCACAATACTGTCTGTGAAGGAATAAATTACACTCATGAACACACGGGGGAAAAGACATAAACATAAGTTTCCATTCACTTCAGACAAAAAGAATTCAATTAAAGAAATTAAAACAGACTATTTCAGAGTAACACTGTAGTGGCTTTTTAAAAAAAATTCAGAACCTTTATTCATCAGCTTTATTATGAAAGTCATTTAAAGCAATACTCATCATTTGTATATATGCTTCCAATAATGAAACACATGTTTGAAAAGAGGAAATTATTTCTCATTTGAAACATTTTACCAAACTTTCACTCCCCCATTTAAATGGCGCTGCAGAATGCTTTCTTACAAAGACAAATAGGAGGGCTAACCCCTATTCAGTGCACTAGAGTTCCTCCACATGGATATGCTTTTTAATTACAAGGGTAAATCATGGAGAATAGATCGACACCAGTAAATGGTGTTATTGTTAGACTAATAAATTGACTAGCCTTTATTAGATGATCATTCTAATGTCTTGACTAGTCTATGGTCAATGGAAAAAGTAAAAAGGAAATAAGCACAGGATTGGAGCATTTTGGATAGATTTGATCAAAAATTATTTCAAGAGTTGTTTTCAATCTTTCTCTAATATAAAGATAGTGAGTTGAACTTCCAGTTCTCACATAACTTTAAATTCTGCAGAGATCATTCCTACCCAAATTTCAGTTGATGGATTATATTTATAAATTTTATCATACTTTCTTTACAACTTGCATTTGATAAAATTAACCTGTTCAAGATCATTTACATTTAATATTTCTAAATAGGGATTTTATCATTCCAACAATTCCAAAAGCAGCTGTAAGAGCAAGAGAGTTTATTGAATATATACAACATAACACATCTTTAAGTTCTCCAAATTATGTATGTCAAACATTTGAAATTAAACTTGTCAGCATAAATTCACATACAAATATATTTGTAAAATTCATTCTTTCAAAGTATAGCCAATGTTTTTAGAGTAATCCATATTATTATGAAACTCTACCAGGTCTAAGAATAAAATAAAGATCTTTATTGTAATGTCAGAATATAATCTTTTTCATTAGTACATAAATATGAGTAAGTGAAACTATTAAAGATTCAAATTTTTGTATGTATTTTGATTGCTGAATCAAAGTATATTTCCAGCAAATGTAGTGGGCAGTGGAAAGGAGACTAATTCTCAGATCAATCTCAGAATCAATGAGTTCCTCAATACTCTAGCACATTGACTCTCTCCCATACTATATGGTTCTCAGGTCCTGGGATCAGAAACAAAACATATAAAAATTGTAGGCAGAGCCTCCCTGGTGGCACAGGGGTTAAAGTCTCAGCACTATCAAGTATCACCAACCACTGCATCATGAGTTCTGTTCCAGCCAAGGAGCCACCCACATGGCGCAGCAGACTTCTCCTATTTCACCCTTTACTCCCCTCAGCAGTGTATTCCAGTAGATCTGCCTGTTCTGCCCCCCACTCTGTGTCTGGTGAATCCTCTCACCCCTTGCACCTCTAACCTACACCCTAGTTCTTGTATTCATAAATAAATAAAAAATATTTTAAAAATTGTAGGCAGGTATAATATGTGGAACAATTTCTAATGTGAATACAGATAAAGCAAAATAAAGCTGTCCTGACTTTAAGATATTAATTTTATAGAAATGTTTCCTTTTTTTTTAAAGATTTATTTATTTATTTATACAAGAACCAGGGTATAGGCCGGATGCAAGGGAGGGTGAGAGGATTCACCAGAGACAGAGCAGGGAACAGAACAGGCAGACTGACGAAATACACTGCTAAGGGGAGCAGCGGGTGAGACAGGAGAGGTCTGCTTCACCTTGTGGGACCCTCGCCGGCAGGCCGGGATCAAACCAGCACTGCAAAGGCTGCTGACAGCTTCACAGCGCTGCGCTCAATCACCTGCGCCACCAGGGGAGACCCTAGAAATGTTTCTTTAAATGTAATTCAAATATTATGACAGGGATTTTTTCCTAGATAAAATTTGAACTGTCCCATCTTTTTAACTCATAGTTAGGTGATGCCGTTCATATAACATAATTTCATATTTGATCACCACTTCTTAGTATCTTTTCCCCAAATGAACATCCTCCTAGGAATAATATTTGCTGTCTACATCTCCCCTTTGTGATTCTCAGGAGCTACAATTGATGTAATTCAGCTACTGTCTTGTTGGTGTTCCCTGGGAGAGGCAGTAGAAAGAAAATGCATTCTAGGTTCAGAATATCAACAGAAAGGAAATTTTTAAAAAATATTTAATGAAATTGCAGCATGTATCTATATAGCAAATCCACTCTAGCTATACTTGCTCTACTTGACACAAATATATAGATAATGATTTTCCAAAATAAAATGAAAAAAGAAAATTTAAAAATGTATAAGTATAGCAATTGGGAGATCAGCTTTTTTCTTTCCCACAGATTGTGACAAACCATCAGAAAAATCAAGGAGCAATGTCTGATCATGCCAATCCTTCTTATTTTACTTTAAACAGATTTAGATTGGTCCATTAAAATGAGATTATGTGGTACATATATATGTTTATAAGTTTTTGATAGGTGTGTACATACAATTGCATCTTATCTGCAATGCTTTAGGTAGAAATATATTGTTTTATGTACAATATTAAGAGTAACCATACATAAATATATATGCATGGATACTCTATAAATAAACAATGCCAATAAGTATATGTGTTTCATGTGAAAATTTGTTTCCAAATGAGTAAAATACCCATGGCCCCTATTAATTAAAAAAAAAAAATAGAAATCTATATGTAACTTACTGCTTCAAGTAAATAAATGCTTTTAAATCTTTGGTTATTTTTTTTAAAAAATTGTATGTCTGAGCTGCTATTAGAGTTAGTATTTTGCTTACTTACTTAATGACACATTGATTTAATTGATAGTGGCTGTACTTAACAGGGAAGCTTGTTTTAGCAAATGCATTCATTTAGCTGATAAAAATCACATTTGTACTTTTGTTTCTAATTCTGATTAGAATCTCCTTTTGATGGATAAATAGCTCTTTATGTGGAAATGAAAACAATAGAGTCAAGATGAAAATGGCAATCTAATGTTATCTTTAATAATTCTGATTGCTGATAAGAATAAACTACAATTTTTGTGAAGTTGACAGAGAAAAAAAATATTTGAAAATGTTCTAGTGGTGGTGGTGTGACTTTATCAATAAAATGTTGTCTAAAACAAAAGAAAAAATTCTGAAAATGAACATCAAATATTAAACTCATGTTTCAACTTGGTAGGTATTTTAATACTCCCTTATAAATTTTTGTATGCTGTATTTTGAATGAAAAATAAAAATATACTTAATATGGTTTCAGCTGGTTTCTTGTGATTATTTTTATTATTAAAGGGCAGTCTAAAACAAAGTACTTTAGAACCTCCAAAAACATTTTAAATAAATATATCAATGAATCAAAATACCAAATTTCCTATTTTTTAACATGAAAATAGCCCTTTCCTTTATTTACTATATCCTTTTCCCTACCCAAAGTAGGGAAAGTTCATGAGTGACATAGTTTTAAGATATGCAATAATTAATATTTTTTATTTTTTAAGGCAATATAATCATATTCAACATTGAAGAAAGATGTTAGGGTTCCAAAAATTAAATTCCACTCATCTTTTTAAAAATTACCTTGAAATAGATAATAACCAATTAAATTAAAATTTTGTGGATCACTAAAATATCGAACAAAGTATTTACTTTCTTCTTCCTTTCCTTACATTCCTTTTAAAAAATACATTTTGCCATGTAAAGGGATCGAATCTCTGTACAGGGAGCCTCAGGTTTGTGTAGCAGCTATTCCTGGAGCTAGGAATGGATTTAGGGAAGGAGGATTCAACACGGGGCAGAAGGTGAGACAATGAGACCCTCAGCCACTTTCTAAAAATTCTACCACTCATATTTACATAGCACCTTTCCATAAATAATTTCAGATTTATACTCTACTTCCATTTATTTTATTTTTTTAAAAGATTTATTTATGTATGCACACAGAACTGGAATACAAGTCAGAGGTGTGGAGGGCAAGAGGATTCACCAGAGACAGAGCAGGGAACAGAACAGGCAGACTGATGAAATACACTGCTGAGTGGAGCAGCGGGCAAGTCAGGAGAGGTCTGCTGTGCTCTGAGGGTCTCCTCCCTGGCTGGGGATCGAACGCGTGATGCAGTGGCTGCTGATAGCATCATAGGTTGTGTCTTAACCCCTTGTGCCACCAGGGAGGCCCCTCCACCTCCATTTAAATGGTTTATTTCTGTGAAGTCAGGATGTAAGTTTGATATAGTCTTGTTGAAGAACTCTACAATATGTCAGGTACAGAGTTTCTAAAGTCATAAATTCAGACAGTGACAGCTAGAATGAAATTTGAGAATTCTTTCTCTTGTCACTTTGTTCTTATTGAGTTAATTGAGTTTAATTATTTAATCTATAGACTAAATGATGTGCTCTCACAGAGGCCAACAGGAATGTATGTACAGTTTTTATGATATTTTTATTTTGTAAGAATCGAACATATACCCCTTTAAAATATTGAGAATTTCATCATTTCTTTGGAATACAGTTCTCCAAAGAGCAAGATGCCTACAATTTTTGTTCCACCTCTTTATATAGATCCCATAGCACAAGAATTCAGCATTTATCCTCAACCTTTAAATAACTCCAGATACTGATATCCCCCTTTAAAAATATTTCCAAATGCATCATTAGATTTGTGGAAACATTTCAATATTTCTACAAATAAGTTTTAATAGCCAATTCATTATTTTTTGTTTCAGGTATATTTTCTTATGCAAGTCTTTTATTCCCATTTGAAGTCTCATCTTAGTCTTTCCAGTTTTTAATTTCACTGCATCTACCATCTACTCTTGCCCAGTTTTGTCTTAGAAATTCCAACCTCCTCCTCTCAATGTTTACCTTTCTGGTCAAGCTTAGATACACCTGCAGTGTCTTTCTCTTCCTTTTCTTTGGATTTAGGTGATTTCTGTACTTCTTTTGCTTTTGCAGCTGTTTGCTTCACTTTCTCTTGTTTTCCACCTTTCACTTCCTTTTTAGTCTTCTCTTCAGTCTTTTCCTTAGTCTTCACTTTCTTCTCTTCTGTACAGAATTATAGAAAAGTTAAGGTTATTTTTGTTTTTTTTCCAATATATCATTCTGTCATTGGTTGCTAAAAAGAAAGAGAAAAGAAAAACAATAAAATATAGTATTGTTGACATAAATACTTGTGACTATTATCTGAGTGTAGGGAGTGCCATATTACACAACTAAAAAATAATGTAACTCATTTATAATTTGGATTCTTTTTTTTTTATAATTTGGATTCTTAATTTTTACATGAAACTATTATTTTGTATATAGTAGGAATTTTGCATGTCAAAAGGAAGCATTTGAAATATGCCCAGGATTTATATAGAAACAAGTTCAGTGAGAGACAATGCCCACACCAACAGTCAACAAAGGAGAACTTTTAAAAGAATGTAATCATTTTGTTACAATTGAAAAATCTTAAGAGTCATTCAAGAAACCTAACCTGGTTTTTCTCAAAAAGAATTTATGTGACTTTACACTTAAGTTTACAAGTAATGAATAAACAAAACAAAAAGTCAAAAAGTATTGTCACGCTTTCAAATCACCCAGCTCTATATATGAATTTAATTCATAACTTTGTCAAATGGAAATAAAAATGGACTAATAGAAAGAATGACATCAGCATTACCCATTGCACATTAGTGACTGGGTAAGAATCAAAAACCTTATGCCAAAGTGGAAAAGCAGCATTACCCAGTAAATTAAAGATACTATATTAGTATATACTAAACTTTTTAGAGTAGGATATTACAAATTTCATCTCTAATTCATTCAAGAATTGACAGCTGTTTAATCTCTCTACACTTCAATTTATTTGCATTCAACAAAAAAATTCACCCTGTATCTGTCTCTTCATTTAAGGAAGTTGTGCAGCTGAGTAAACCAATTTGAGGAAAAGAATTTGGAACCTGAAAATTAAGTACATAGAAATTTCTAATATTATATTCATATAGCCATACACCCTGTATATACCCTGTACACTTCAAGTTTCCCTATAACTTACCAAGCTTAATGTATAGCAGAATTGACTACTATATAATTCTCATTTTACATATTAGAAATCAAAGAATGAAAAAGTCATTTGCCAAATGATTGAGAAGGCAAAGAAATTAAGGAAATAATTCCATTCATATTTGTTTAAATAAATTTAAATATCCCAGAATTGACCTAACCAAGGAGGTGAAGGGCTTATACAACAAGAAATATGGGATGTTTTTAAAGGATTTATATGGCAACATAAGGACACCGAAAGATATTCCAGGTAATGGATGGGCAGACTCAGTATAATCAAAGTTACTAATCTAATAAAAGCAATATATAAATTTAATGCAAGTCTTACCAAAATACCAACAATATTTTTCAAAAAAATTAAACAAAAATATTGATGTTTATATGGAAGCATAAAGCAAGCTGGGAGAAAAAAGGAGATGAATGGATACATCTCATTATCTGACAAAATGACAGTAGCAAGCCCTCATACATTAACAATCACCCTAACGTAAAGGGACAGGACTCACCCACCAATCAAAAGACAACTTTGATTGTCTTTGGATCAGCAAACAAAATCCAACTTTCTACTGTTTCCAGGAGATCCACCTAAGCTCCAAAAATAAACACAGGCTCAAAAGGTCGGAAAACAATCCTATAAGCAAATGGCACCCAAAGAAAAGGGGCAGCCATATTCGTATCAGATAAAATAGACTTTCAGCTAAAAAATGTAACGAGACTTTATTTATTGAATTCTAAAGCAATAATAAAATGGAATACTTAGAGAATATTTAAAAAAAAGAAAATGAAGTGCTTCCCCATATGTGGGAGCAGAATTTTGCCCTTTATGATCTTTAACCCTTCATGTAATCCCTGTGAATGTTTTATTACATAGCAAAAAGGAGTTTTAAATATACAATTTCAAATAGTAGAGTCAAATTAAGTTTTCTGTAAATGGAATCCTTGTAATCATCCAGCTATCTGTTACTCAAAATGTAATCTTGTAAAGTAGAAAGAATTTTGTTAAGGATATAATAAAAGTACCTTTTGCTATTGTCTTTGTGTCTGATTTTTCTTTTTTCTCGGTTTTTTCCTTTTGAGCTGCTTAAATAGAAAATTTTATATTAGTATACATTTTTAATAGTGTACTTCAAGACAAAGCTTTCTCTTGACTGCAGTTTTATAGCCACCAAAATCATGAAACACCCTGAAGAAATTAATGAGTCTAAATCAAGAATACAGAGATATCCAATTAATAACTATAGAAACTAAGTTTAGAAACTTGGCATTAAGACTAGAGAGAATTTTGAAACTAGTCTTGCCATCTTTTTAAAATAACTACAAATAAAATTTTCAGGAAAGGTAAGCTGAATGAAAGCAATTTTATAAAAATTTGTCAAAAGAGTTATGATTTTACCAGGAAGAAGCACTCTCTTTAGGATTAATAAAAATAATTTAAATCAGAGCTAGAATTTTGATTAAACAGTGAGAAACAGTGTTTCTTAACAAGGGCACAATTAAGTATAAATCTAGCTGGTAGACTGCCCTATTCATTGAGTACATGCTTAGCTGCTCTAGCTTCTGCTTACCACATGCCTTCCAGTCCACAGAGTTTTTGACAGCCAAAAGCTTTTCAAATACAGGAGACATTTTTGATAGGGAGCCATGAACAAAATTATCTTAAAGGATTATTGATTAAGTACAGCTTCTTAACTAAACACTCCATACACATGATACTTAAAATTTTATTATATCTTCTCATTGTTCATGCAAAAAACTTATAAACCAATATTAATTTATTTTACTAACTTCTATTTTTACTTACATAGACCAGAGAAATCTTTTGCAGAGAAATCTCTTGTTACTAAATAGTTTAAGAAGTTCTGAGAAGAACAGCATGCATATCTTATTCTTATATTTCAATTATACAAAACTGTGGCTTGGGAATTTCCCAAATGACCACACATTTCTACCACATACATACCACTTACTAGAGAATAATAATGAGAATTATTGGGTTGGGTTAGAGAAAAAGCCAAATTATTAGAAGAAAAAATTGGAGGCCCAATTATTTCCATTTCTCCAACTATATAAGAATATTAATGTGTATCAGCTTGATTGTATAAAAGGAAAATGTAATTAAAATATGCATTTAAAATACTTTTTCTTTAAAATACAGTCTATGAATTGTTTCACCAGAATTCTGAAGTTGATGCAAGATTCATACAAAGTTTGAGGTACAATGCCCAGTTGACAACCCCATGACCCTGGCAGCTACAGAGTTACCTAGTGAACTCTGCAAACCCCCTTCCAGGGTTTCATCCTCTTCACCTCTCAGCCTACACCACAGTCATCTCCACTAGATTTGGGATTATCAGATATAGGTTGTTAGAAAAGTACTACATAAAGCTAAGCAGTATTCTATTCACACATGCTCATGGGTTAGAATATAATAATTTATCACAGAAGAAGCAAACTTCTTTAGTGCATAGGAAATAAAAGGACCCTTTAATACAGCATTTTTTTTCTGCTTTTCAATTTGGACAAATTTCCTGCAACATTTATAGTTTGGGGTAAAAAATTCTCAGTTTATTTTAATAAAAATATTTAGACAATGCAAGTTTTGAATGAAACATAAAAATAACAAAATATTTCATTTAGTCAGAGTTCCCAGAACCTGATGCCAATAATTCTATGTAACTCAATCACAGATGAGGAATGGACACCTATTTCAGTATCAAAGATAGTTGTATTGAAATTCATGTATATTATCACTATGTTAATTAAATAATAACTATTTAATTCAAATTTTCAAGTGTGAGTACAGAATAAAAAAGATTCAAGCATGTTTCAACTGATCTGATTCCTAAATATCACCAAAAAAATCTAGCCAAGTGAAATATTTCACAAATAAAGTAATTCATCGGGGTGTGAATATTGTGAAAACACAAATCAACTGAAATATTTCCCAGATATATCCTAGACATTATCCATTTTAAAATAAGAGAAAAAAATTAAATTAAAATTTACTTCACATCATATATTGAATGGAATTTTTATGAGTTAAAGTTAAATGCAAAATATGATAGAATTTTTTTAAGCTTGAGTAAATTATTAGTAATGTCTGGACTGCCAAAGGAAATATAAAATATTTCTAGAACATCAATAGGTAACACAATTCAAGAGTCTCAAATATTTTATTTTCTTCAATCTGGAAATTATACTATTCATATTGAATTAGAAAGAAAGTTTCATAAAATATATCTATTTCAAATTTATGATCCTCTAAGCTCTGATGTAAACAGGAAGAAGTCTACTAAGGTAAAAGAACCAAGTTGAAAAAAAAACTAAGAATAACTGCATACCTTTCTTTTCAGGTTTTTCTTTTACTTTTTCTTTTTCTTTTTCTTTTTCTCTGTGTGTAACTGCAAAAAACCACACAATACTTTTAATTTAAATAAACAAAATAAATCAAATGATTACATGGCAGATTTAATTTCAATTCCTTATCTGCTGCCTTTGGAAATTTTTGAGCTGGCAAGAGGTTTTATATAGTAAGAGACTTTAAATGTTAAGATAATGGCAGAGTTTTAATTTTCTTTCTAAGGAAAAACCTGTACCCAAACCAAGTCTCATTGCAAAGATAAGAATATCCCTCAGCTTTTCCAAATTTCTAACTTCAATTTAATGGTTTGGGAAAAAATACATATATATATATATATATGATATTTATGATATATATATGACATATATATCATGCTATAAGCCAAAGGAGCCCAATTGAATGCTAGAGGAAAAATAAAAATTCAGAGATAATCTTCTGAAACTGAAGCACAGAATAATCAGTCTAAGCAATATGTGTTAATATTGTACAAATACATTCCACACTAAAAGTTTTTAAAAAATACACTTGGGATGACACCAAATCCTTTCAAGGAAGACTAGATTTAATTGACCATAAGCTGTGATCCAATTATTAATTTAGCAGAGCTCAAATTTAAAACATAATCCTACCCCACAATTTAGTTATAACTTTTGCTAATGGCACCTCCAATTATCCAAGCTAGGAACATGGGACTCATCCAGGATTCATCTTTATTTCCCACTTTTGTTCAGGCTAGCTCTTCTAACCTATCCTATTAATATTCCTCCTACCCATCTCCTTTATTCCAGTATAGCATCCCTTAACTATCATTTATTTACACAATGACATAGAAAGAGCACCTGCCATGTGCTTAAAATGTTGTTAAGCAAGATAGACACCATCCCTGTCAGTATGATGTCAACAAACTAATGGATGATGGATGCTAAACAAATAATTACAAAGACAGTTTATCAACATTAGTATAATTGCTATGAAGAAAATATTCAGGGTGGTATGTCAATGTATAAAATAAGACCTAATCTAGTTTGTGTGTTTGCAGAAGGCCCCTTGGTAGAAGAGATGTTTAAAATTGTGAGAGAAGCAAAGAAATTACGCATGGGAAGGAGAAAGACAAAAGAAACCATTTCCAAGTTGAAATAGGATGTCTGTCTTGAAAATGTATTATTATACTTATGAATACAATAATATTACTAGGCTCTTCAAAATTCAGATTTAGACTTTTGTCTCTCAGAGTAAAGTTTCCAACATGAAAATGTGATTATACCATTGACCAGTGACAAGTCAATTGTATAACCTCTCTCTTAACATGGTATCTATTACATAGTGTGCTATATGAAATGTTACTGCTTTAGTGATCCGATATTTGCTTATCAACCCAATGTTAGCTACAGGAATTTCTCCTTGAAATTTATTCTCACTATAGGAAAATTCTTAAAGGCCCACAAGCACACTGGGTACCCTATAATTACCCTTGCATCTCTTACTGCTTGTCCTTCAACTTAGAAATCCCATACCCACATTTTCTCATTTCCATGCAACTTACAATTCTAACTCAGATGGCTCTTCTTCTGTAAAATGTTCTTTGATTTCTACTTATCTCATGCACCAAATGCAGAATATGCATAATTCTATTTTAGCAATCAAACAATAATGCTGCAGTTGGTCATATGTCTGTCTTCCCTGTAGACGAAATCTCTGTTAAGTACTATGCCCTCTTATTTTATTTTTTTCATTGTGGTTCTTCACATGGTCTGTCATATAATGGGAATCTGAATATTTTTGAATAAGTGGAATTCTAAAATATTAACAGAACTATTTTCATCTTCTAGGGCAATGCTACTTATTGATAATGTGGAATAGGCATAATAAGCACACCTTGGTTTTAAGCATTTAAAAACTTCACAATTTGTTAAAATGTCCTAAATAATTAAAAATCCGTGGAAAGCAGGAGGCAACAAAACCTTACAATGTGCAGACATTATTTTTCCTTCCCATAGTCAGTTTTTTTTTTTTAAGTGTTTCTGAGTTACTAAGTTCCTAGCCCAATATAAATACCTCACAAAATAAGGGAAGGACATCAGCATTCACACATGACCACAAATAGCTTCTGTTGCTTCATTTGGATCACTATTAATTAAGCTAAAGACCAAAAGAATATCTTGGCAAAAATAAAACCTCTTTAAAAGTTTCTCTAGGGGGAACCAAGTTTGTGTGAGATAAGCTGTGCTTTTGGAACTCTGATTGGCTAGATCCCCAGGAGAACGCCTAATCTGGCTCTGCCTCTGTGAGGGACCAGACCTCGCCCACCTCAGACAGCTGGTTGTCCATTCCACTAAAGGATTTCCAATTGATGTGTGCATGGGCATGAATGAGAGCATTAATACAAAATCAAAAGAGCAAGGACACTGAATTCAGATTCAAATTAGCATATTAATGCCTCCTTCCTTTTACCCTGGTGAGAAATCTGGTTCCTCCCAGTCTAAGTTTTGATTTACAGGCACAGTCTTGTCTGCTGCAATTTCATTATCCCCTTCAGAAATGGCACCATAATACTGCTTAGTGAAGCAGCTGAATCCATGTGCTCTAGAGAACTGTTCAAATGGCAGAGAGCCATTGAAGTTTCTTGGATGGAAACTTCAAACTTTGGCAACACTGAGCTCAAATACCAAGGTTCAAGATTTCTTTTATCAAAACAATGCAAGTGTCAGTGTCTGCCTTAGAAATCACTCTAAATTTAAAATAAAGTGTTACCATAATCACACTTGTGCATCTCTGTGCTTAGAACCTACAACCAGAAGTTTTAATATGGAAGAAGAAAAAAGTTCCTCCCTGTCAACAGCTCTGTTTTGGCAAGTTTCATCTTAGCTAGGACTGTTTTAGCTTGGGACAAAATAAGCTTGTTGCACCTGCTAAAGCTTAATTTGTTTGTCATTCTTATTCACAAGAAACAAAAGTCCCCTTGGTATGCCAATAATTAAAAGCAAATGGAATCCACCATTTGGAGGGGCCCTGTTGTCTGGCATATAGTTGGCATGACCCTGTTGTTCCTGCACTTGCCCAGACTCTGACCTTTCTCTGGCCAGGACATTAGGCTCAACTAACTCTAAGCACGTCTCTCCCTCTCCCATATGGTAGCTCTCCAGCACTCTGCAAGCTGTGCTCTGTGCTTGTTACGGTGCATTGGCCTGCAATCCAGCAGTAAGGGGCCTTTTCTACAGTGTCCTTTTCTGCAGTGTCAGAGCTCACAGTGTGCCTGACCCATGTGGTTCTTATCTTACAGGTCAAAACCCTCCCTCAGGGCCAACCATGGGCATTCAGGCCAAGTTGACCGAACTTTTGGCTGATCTCTCTGCTCTTTCTTCAAAAATCAAGATATGTTGTCAAACATTTTAAAGTATTGATTTGTATAGGTTACTGTATTCTTCAATAGATGGTTTGCAAATGAATGTGATTAACAAAACTATAGAACTCATACATGGCGTCAGAACTAACAGATGGGACTAAACCTGCTTGAATGTGCAAACCAAAAGAAATCAGATGGATAAATAAGCAAGCTTATACCTTTGTATTATAAAAATGTTATGGAATACAGTTATTTCTAATAGATTTTGCTGGTTTCTCCGTTAATAAATTCATCAACTTTTCATGTTTATGGCACTTTTTGGTTATGGGAGGTATTGGCAATAAAGTTATACACAAAATTTTAAATAGGTCAGCACTGAAAGAGCTATATAAAATTCATATATTAATTCATCATTTGTTATAAAACAGCAAGATACACATTCATTTTAAATCATTTTAAAAAATTCTGCTTTAGCCACCACACAACAATATATGACAGTTGTAATCTTGGTTGGTATTATACCTTTGTATGTGTTTCACTGATCATCACTAATTTGAAGAATTTCTATTCCAGACCAAGGAAATGAGCTATACACTTTAAACTGAATAGAAAAGCATCTTGAGTAGAGAATCTTCTCAAAAATTTTATTTTTCATTTCTCCTAAAGTTTTTACCATTTTTAATTTAATATAAGCACACAATTTTAGGACTAATAGAAACTTAACAAGTCAATAACCTGAATTTCTCTGTCCATGGATAAGATAATTCAGTTTCATAAGTCCATGGCAGTGTAGAATAAGAAGACAGTTATTAGATTGCTAAAGTTACTCTTCATTCCAAAACTATCCAGCCCTGTCCATGACTGTTAGCTATTATCTAATAATGTATATACTTCTTTTTCATAAATTATACATATTTTGTATTAAAGTGAAGATAAAACAAGTTACCTATTTGCAAAGTTCATCATATATATATATATATATATAATGCTTTAATCACAAAAGAGATCTTTCTTTAATTCTAAAATAAATAATTTTACTCTCAAATCTCATTTAATCAATGGGTAATTTCCTGTTCACTTGGAGCTACAGAGTTCCAGTCAGAACCTCAATTGCAATCACTTCCTCATAAGTGAGCAGTCACTCCGGAGGAGGTGATGCACAGCTTCATGTAGAGCCTTCTGCTCTCATTTCCACGATTAGCTTTCACAGCTGTCAGAGAGGAAAAGAGAATATATTGTGTACTTTCAAGAGTCAATGAAGTACAAAGAAGAGAAGGCAAACAAAAAAGTCTACACAATACAGGCTGCTGACTAAATTAATTTGTGGGTTTTGAGAGCATTTTTATGAAGGGTTCCAAAATATTTAGATAGATTTTATTTAGTACCTCATCCTCTTCAACTTTTAAAGCTCATTTTCAGCAAAATCCCTTACCAGCCTATGATTCTAGTCTTGATAATTGTTTCCCCAGAAAAAATCTTAAACCATCAATCAGGATTATTGTTCAAAATGACCCTTTTAAAATAATGTTCCTCTGACTTTGTGTATGTGATACTGTTGTGGATTGAAATGTGGCATCTTAAAAAGACTTGTTGAAGTTCTAAATCCTAGTACCTCAAATCGAGTCTTTTTAGAGAAGTCAAGATGAGGTCCCTATGGTGGACCCTAGTCCAATATTACTGGTGGCCTTATGAAAAGG